CTCTTCGCATCTGAGAGCGGGCGCGGCGCTACCGCCGGGGAGCGTGTAGGCAGCGAGCCGGTGGAGAGCGAGGAAGCGACCGTGGGTGGGGCTGGCCCGGGGGCCGAGGGGGAGCAGTGGAGTTCGTGCAGGCGGCTTGGAGGTGCGTGTGGAGCGTCGAAGGCCAGTGTAGTGGCAGGCTGGCTGGAGGGCATTCTGGGCCAGGGATACAGAGTGATGTGACGGAGGTGTGGGTCGCAGTCAGGTCGGAGGATATGAATGAGATCCAATAGGGAGAGTACAGGAGTGATTTGGAACCGTTAACAGTTTTAGGGGATGCACGAGGTCGGATTCGGGCCGGGGTGTTTCAAAGGCTCTGAGGTGAAAGGTTAAGGAGCCTAGGTTTGGTGTGAAAAGATACTGAGGGCAAATCCACAATGCTGGAAGACATCAGCATTTAAGGCAATGTTACCAGAGAGAGGTGCTTGGGGTGCTCCCAAAGTTAATGAGTTAAGCTCTCTTAAGATGGCATATGGGAATCGACATTTTTAAACTACAGCCTCAAATCAATGTGCTTTGAAATTTGAGATCCTCTGATGTAAAGGGGAAGCTGTGAAGAAATAGCCCGAGTTAAAAGAGTGTTGTGAAAAAATCAAGCCCTTGGCAGGCAACAGCTTTATTTACCGCCAGGGGTTGGGGGAACTCCGTTTCCACATCACCAGCCCTGGCTTAAAGTGAAACAGCTTACATACTTTTGTAAGCGGGAAGTACAGAGTCAGTAACGGATTAGCTTATAATTGGTTATATACACAGGTTAGTCTGCAGTTAGCTACCTATATTTTGTCAAACACCGTCAGGGAGAAGCGTCCTGGGAAGGTTATCATGAGGCAGGAAATGGGGGGAGAGGGGTTAGAGGCTGGGCAAGGTGGCAAGAGTTAGTGTGACCTTGACAAGACTGGTCTGTGTTTAGTAGACAATTCCTAAAACAGCTTTGAAAAACAAGTACCTGTGCAGGGCATGTGAAGCTGGCCAGATAGACCTGAGTCAGTCATTTCTGAGTTGCACCTGTGTGGCTGAGGTTAGCTGAGTCTGACTGCTTAATTATGAAGTTACAGACTTTAAGAAATGTTTATTACAATTTGTTCACTACAAGAGGAAGCCAGAGAAGAAGCTTGTTGTGAAAGAGATTTTTAAAAGAGGGCTAAGGATATAGCTCAGTGGCACAGCACCTGCCTGGCAAGCATGAGGTCATGAGAGAGAGAGAGAGAGAGAGAGAGAGAGAGAGAGAGAGAGAGAGAGATCTTTATTAAGAGAGTAGGGTTAGTGGCTGAACACAGTGGTCTATGAAGGGGTCAAGTAAAATCTGAAATATGTCCATTGGGCTTAACTAGTAAGAAAAAAGGAGACTAGAAACTCTTCACTAGTTTCATGTGAGGAAGCAAGTCAGAGCCACTTCCTAAAAAGTGTTTATTTTATTATTATTTTTTTTTTTGTGAATTTAGGACAGGGTCTACAGGGTGTACAGGGTCTCACTATGTAGATCAGACTTGTAATGATTCTCCTGTGTTCAGCCTCCCAGATGCTGAGGTTACGGGCATGGGCCACATGCCCAGTCTCAGTCTCGGTCTCAGCGAGCCCCAGGGGTGGAGCTGGCACAGCAGAAATGTTTATTTTATTTAAAAAAATGTTTTTTTTTTAATGTATTGGCATTTGAGTATATTCCAAAAGAGCTATGAAAATTATGCAAAAGAAAACAAGCATACACTAGAATTTAAAGAATATTTCTAAAGGAATAAAGCACCTAGGCCACACTGTAGCTCATGGCCAACATCCCATGTGTATCTCCTCGATCAAAACTCATTATGTCCTCAGGAGGTGACCACTGCCCCAAATGCTATACCTGTTCCCTCATTTCTTTATACCAAGTATAAGTAAATTCGTAGTCTGTTCATGTTGTTATAACAGGATGTCCAAGACTGCGTAGTTTGTCAATGGAGTTTATTTTTCACAGTTCTAAAGGCTGGAAGTCGAAGGTCAAGGAGCAGCACTTTCAGTGTCTAGTGAGGGTCGGCTGGCTCTGCCAACAGCGAGGAAACAAACCTGCATGTCCAGGCAGGCGAGTGCGTGCCTGTTACCCCCAGCAGTGGGGGCCGAGACCAGAGGATCTTGAGTTCAGCCTGAGCCGTGTAGTAACGCTGGTTAAAACAAATCAAAGCAAAACCAAACAAACCGACATGTTGAGGTCTGAGAGTGCAGTTCAGTGGTAGAGCATGAGTGAGACCTTCGCTGGAATCTCTAGCACCAAGGGGAAAAAAATCGTGTTTGAATGTAAACCCTGAAGTCATGTTATTCAGAGGTGGGTCTGAGAGATTATTGGGCCATGAGTCAGATTGAGGCTCTTAGAAAAGAGGCGAGAAAACTGCCTGGGCTTTCTCTTCTCTGCCTCAGAGAGCACAGTACTTGTCTCCTCAGAGGCTGGAGCGTCCCGACTCATCTTGGAAGCTGAGACCTGGCTCTCTCTGGCCAGTGACCCCACCGCCACCCCGCCGCCTCTATCTGGGATTTCAGCCTCCAGCATTGTGAAGAATGCATTTCTATTGTTTATAAAGAACCCAATTTCAGGGATTTAGTAACAGTAGCAGGAACAAACTAGGGCACTGTATTTCTGTCTTGGTCAGAGAACATACACAGTGTTTTAGTCATTTGAAATTTATTGAGACTTGTCTTATGTCATATGATCAGCTTTGCTAAATGCCAAGTGTATTATTAAAAATGATACATATTATATAGTTACTAATCTCTCTTTCTTTCTTTTTTCTTTTTTTTTTTTTTTTATCTTTTTTTGAGACAAGGTGTCACTATGCAGTTCAGCTGGCCATGAGCTCAGTTTGTAACCTAGGCTGGTCTCAAATTGTGGTGATCCTCCTGCCTCAGCCTCCCAAGTGCTGGGATTACAGATGTACATCACTATGCCCAGCCCTGATTTCTTACTATTTGAGGTTATCAGAATACTGTTTCCTCAAGGCTGGGGAGATGGCTCAGTAGAATAAACACTTCCCTGGCAAACACAGGGGCCTGAGTTCAATCCCTGGTTCTGGGAAAAAGAAAAAA